GGCGCGGCCAAGACCACGGGGCCATCCGTGGCGCTAGGCATTGGGAGGCTTGCTAGGACGCCAAGGGGCGCGCCCAAGGGGTCATGGGGCATGGCTGGAAAGCCGCCCATGACAATACTCATGTATATGTTTGTTTAAACTTGAGATAGTAAAGGTTGTAGTAATATGGAACTTATGTGATGTCATCTCAACCAATGAGCTCAACTTCTTAGCTATCTCCCCAAAATAGGTACTCATTTCTGCTGTAATTAATATGCAGGACTCTATTTATGAAATGAAGCGAGCTATTGAAGACAGAGATAGAAAAATTGATATTCTATCTGAAAAGTTAAGAGCTCATTTGTTATTATTCGATTCAATGTCAAAGGAGGCTTCCTCCATTAATAAACTTATGGATGATGCTAGACACGCTCTCAGTCAAAAAGAGGATGTAGGCATGTAGCTTTCTTTTCTTAAGGTTTCATTCATTCAGTCTCAGCAATCTATCTATTCATATACTTGCTCACAAACTTTTTTTTTGTTACTTTCTTCAATTTCTTTTGTCATGTTCAGTGGTTGGGCTAAAGAGGAAAATGGATGAGGTTTCTACTTTTGAGAAACTTTTCGTCGGTAATTTCTTATCCTTGTTTACCTTGGCATGTAGCTCTTTAGTCTTGTACTCAGCATTTAGTGACACAGCAGAATAGGATGTTACTAGATTAGACACTATTTGATCCATCAGACATGCTTAGCCTTAAATCTATCTACAAACGTCATTTTATAATACAGAACATGTGGTTCGCAGGAATGCTCTTCTTGTAGTCCATCTAGATACTTGTCATAGCTGTGGGGTATCGATACCTGTTGTCTATCTATATACCTCTAGCAGGGGCGAAGCTGTGTTGGCCCTTATACTACGTATAAGGTAAAATATTACTTGTTATTGATTAACAATAGACTTTGAACATCCTTGCATAGCCCACTGGCAAAGGGTTTGAACACCCTTATTGAATTTCCTGGCTTCGCCACTGACCTCTAGGTGTAAGTGCACAGAGGAGATGTATAAGCATAAATTAATCATGAATCCAATAAGGGTTTAGTTTTAGTTCTATGTATGATTACACAATTATGCTTAAGACTTCTTGTTTGGTACAATTGTCATTCATTACATGCCTTTTCTGTGTAAACTCCGTCATTGCTCATCAAAGTTGATTAGTTATGTGAAAATAAATTACAGACTTCTGATTGTAAGAAGTTAGCTATTGTTACCTAAGAAACTAATGCTTATTTTTACAGAGAAGATCAACAACCTGGAAAACAAACTTATGAATAATGAAGTGGAACTCACAATCAAAGCTAAAAGAATACGACAGCTGGAGGCAGAACTTGAGGCAGCAATTCTTAGCAAGGAGTTCCAACCAAAGATCACACAGATATCCATTAACTGATGGAAGCAGTTCGTGCTCCCTTATGCTTTATTAAGTTTCAACAATGTTCTTTCACATTCCCTTCTTAGTGGCATGCCTCCTTAACTAGTCATACCTTCAGAGAGAGATATCCACAAAGGAACTATTTCTACAGAACTTAATCTCAGAGAACAAGGTTTGCATAGTAGTTTGCTTAGGAGTATTATTTTATTTCAAACTGGATTATTAACTTGAACTGTTACCTTTCTGAGTGGGTAATTATCAGGGACTGTATTGTGAAGTAGGAAGCTTAGGCATTTTCATAAAAAGGATTCAAGATGCCGTCACTCGTATGGGTGAAGAGGTCTGAACACACTCATTTTTCCTCGGGATTTTCCTTTCAAATGCTGCTTGACTTTAGCCCTATGTGAATTCCTTATAACTTGAGGATATTGTTGGAAAATAGACTTTTCTGTGTTATGGCAGATCTAGTCCATTTGCTCAATCATTTCTGATGTACCAACTCCAGTAACTGGGAGAGATATATGTAGTTCTGAGCACACCTGCTCAAGCTAGCCCCAAATTACTTTTTATGGATAATATACATATTTCTGTGCACCTTTATATACCTCTTATTTTTGTTTATGTCAGATGAATTCTGTCACTACCCTTATGATCTACAATTCAACAAGGACAAGGTCCTTAATTCGTATAATTAGGCCATCATCCGAGTTTAATCTTTCCATGCCCTAGCTAAATGTTGTTGTTTCGGTTTGGCATTCCATCTCTTTGTTGAAATATGCATTTCCTCTGCTAGTGCCGCACTCGTAATGTACTGCATTATTCCTTGGCTTCATTGCTGCTACTAATTTGGCTGTATCTTTCTCTAATTCCAGGATAGGAAGACATTCACCTCACTGATGGAAGGCCAGGAAGAATGCCTTTCAATTAGACAAAATGAAAACTTACGGTTTGACTGAGCCTCTTATAAACTCCAATATGAAAGATTAGTATTCCGGTTTAGTAAGCAAAGACTCTGAAGATTAGCAACATCTTGAATTTTCAGTTGGAATTTTCTTCTAAGCACCGTTGTCTAATTAAAATAAATGCAGTTAAACTTCCTAAATTAAAGTTTTATTTCTCACTCAGCAATCAAAATGACTCTTGGGAAGAATTTGTCCTGAATCAAAGATCACTATAGCAAAGAATTTGTCCTGAATATAACATGTTGCTAACCTTTCTCAGAACATATTATAACTCCTTTTGTTTGCTAACTGAAAGATGTGGATGTGTAAGGCGCAGTCCATTTCTTTACTACACAGAAAAAGGCGGATCGTCAAAACTTTCAGCTGTCTAAGCTTTCTATCTCTGATAGCTTTCAGCAGGATGCGCTGTTCCTTTTGATAAATTTGCTTGCATATCTTTTTGGCATCATTCTTGGCTTAGAAATCTTTTATAGTTCTAGCTCTTGTGCTTAACCATTACCTAGTGACAGGCAAAGAGAAGCCAGAAACTCTCCGATTTGTCCATAATTTATCCCAAACTATTGATTCTTTTCAACTTATTATTATCAATGAAAAAGGGGTTCTCTTAACAATGATTAGATGGGTTATTAGCAAGCTGATCGGAAGATGGCGCTAAAATCAACATGTGGCTTTTATCTATTCCTTCATCTGGCTCCTATTAAATACTTCAGATACTGTCATGCATGTTATATGCTGTCAATTCTTCCTTAATTTGTGACATTCTGGATAACTAAAATTGTGACATTTTGCTTACTAGGATTCCAGATATTGCTCAAATCACAGGGAAAGACACTAATCCAAAGTCTTCTGTGATTGAAGAAAGCACAGGTTCCTATCACGCCCTTGCTTTATGTTGTAAGGAGCATAATCTTTAGTCTTTTTGTTTGTCTGGCAATTGCTCAATTCTGTAGCTTAGTCCTTTACAACAACGACAACCAACAAAAACTACAGCTCAATCCCAAGCAAGCTTACTCCTTTATACCAAATTAATATATTTTCCTACCATAGGATGCAAATAAGATTCACTTTGCTTTGAGAATATTTGTAGAACTCATCTTTTTGGTCCAAGTTCTGCAACTGCTTCCTCCTCCATCTCGTGAATGATATGCTTTTAGCTATCTCTATTTTGATTCCACTTCCCCTGTTTCTTTTCCTTTTAGGAACTGGAACCTTATAGCTTTATGTATATTTTCTAATGCTATAAATTAAATATGGAAGATACAATAAGTTTTAAATGCCTTATGCTTCATCGCTTATAAATACAAGGCGTAGACTTGCAGTTCTGTCGTTTCCCTAGACTGATTGTTCAGTGTAACAAGAGTGCAGAAATTCACTGATAATGTGCAATTTGCCAAAGCAGCCTCACCAGAAGTTCAGGAGGATTCAATAAAGAGCCCCTTGAAGAAGGATAACAAGATTAACTGCTATGTATCAGAGGCGAGTATATCCATCGTCAGATAAATCTTCTCCCACCAAATCTGTAAAAAGTTTTTGAAATTGCAGATACTTCTTCAACTTTGCAATTGCAGTCTGTTTATTCTCCCTCACCGTCAGCTTGCTCAGTGCCTCAATGTGAAGCTAACAATGCAAGTGTCTCTGCTGCTGCAGCAAAGGTATGATTTACTTGCTCATATTTAGTTCTTGTGGCATCATTCATGCTTTTAAAAAAGTACTTATGGGATCACTAATGCTATTTTTCATATTAATTACGTTGAATGTTGTAACTAGAGATGTTTAACGGGCGGGCTGGGACGAGCTGGGACGGGCTGAACAAAAAAAAACCCAACCCGTTCTTTAACGGACCGGGTTGGTTAGCGGGCTAGGGATAGCGGGCTAGGGATAGCGGGTTGGGAATTTGTGGGTTTTTGTGTGCCCGTCCGGGTTCGGGCTTAACGGGCTCGGGCGGGCTGTGCTAATATGTTTTTTTAAATTAAATTTTGTTAGCAACGGTACACAAATTAAAAAAATAAAAATAAAAATAAAAATTTTAACCCGTTAACGGGTTAGCGGGTTCCAGTATCCAAAATGTGTTCGTCTAAAATCCGCTCCCCGTCCAACCCGTCCCAGCCCCCCCTTTATGCTACCGAGCCGGGCCAAGCCGGGCCGAAAACGGGTCAGCCCAGCCCGATTAACAGGTTTAGTTGTAACCCTGAAATCTAACCCTTCTAGGTGCTACTATCCTTTTCATCCAACAGTTGCCTAAGAAATTAATTGAAGAACTCTTCCTTTTTAGCTGCCATATTTGTCTTAAAAACTCTTTCCATCTTCTGATATAGGATGATTACACAGAATTAGCGAACCAGCTGGATTCTGAATGTTCAACGACTCAAGTGGAGATCCTGTAAATTGTATGATTTTGGTCTTTGTATCAGAAATTTGATTCGACTCTGCAAGCAAACTAGACTAACTTTTCATATACTTCATTCTAGCATAAATTAACTTAGTGAAGTTTTGGTGATCCACCATGCAAACTGCCCTTGTACTCGAGGCTGGGAAAATTGTCTTCTGTTTTCCACTTATCTCTATTTAGTTAACATATTCAATTTTAAAACAAACACTACGTCCATTCCATGTAGATAAAACTTTTCAAGTTACCACCTTTAAGTAGATTTTGACTTTAAACTTGTAGTTTTTATACCTATTTGGTCTAAAGGAATTACAATGCAATTAAATATCTTCTAACAAGTTATAGTGATGCACTTCGTTAGAAAAAGTCAAGCCGTTCACAATCTCATTTATTTAATTGAACAGTGTAGATCTGAAAGAAGACCTAGCTATGGCCAAAACGAGTGCTTTGACCACAACCCAATTTATTGTGCCTCGACTTTGAGACCTTTCTCAAAAGAAAATATAATTGTGTGATTTTGCGAATCTCTCCATCCCGAGTGAATGGTATAGATCTCTGGTCATTGCCAAGGTTTTGGCTTGAGTTCCATGAGCGATTGTTACTAATTCAATTCATTTTTCAATTCACGTTCAAAAGATACTAGGTTGTCTAACAAAACTTTGCAAAGTAATATGTCTAAATTGGCATATCTAATCCAACATCTTGTCAAGATGTTTCTTTTTAATTTTCTTATGAAAAAAAATAAAAATTAAGCAATAAAATTTTTTCGGACTGGTCATTCAAAAATAGTCAGCGTTTGCCAAGTCATTGAAAAATAGTTACTATTTTGCTGCAATAGAGATCAGTCCAGCATAATATACTGGAGTTCGGTGCACCTGTGTATGAACTTCCAGCATATTATGCTGGACCAGTATACTTTGCTGGTTCCAGTATAATATACTGGAGACTGGAGCACCGGTGTTCCAAACTCCAGTATATTATGCTGTACCAGTATATTATACTAGAACTCCAGTATATTAGACTAGAGTTCCAGTATAATATACTTGAACTCCAGTATATTATGCTGGTGTATTTTTCGGATTTTGACAGTGTTTTCGTTCAGATTTATCTTTACATGAAAAATGGCTAAATTTCAATTACTTTTGAAACTGTGGCTATTTTTGAATGACCACTTGAATATCTAGCTATTTTTGAATTTCTCCCCTCTCCTCCCTCTCCGTCCCAATTTTGTACGGCTCAATGTTATTTTGCATTACAAGAGCAACAATCCAGTAAAATCCCATAAAGTGGTCTGGGTCAATGTTACTTTGCATTGCATTGACAAATTTAAGTTAAAATAGTATGGGGTAGTTTTCGGATTGGCTATTCAAAAATAGTCAGCGTTTGCAAAGTCACTGAAAAATAGCCACTATTTTGCTGCAATACGAAAAGTTTCAGTATAATATACTGGAGATTGGTGCACCTGTGTATGAACTTCCAGCATATTATGGTGGAACTCCAACATGCAGAAAGTTCCAGTATAATATACTGGAGATTGGAGCTAAATTTCGATTACTTTTGAAATTGTGGCTATTTTTGAATGACCACTTGTAAATCTAGTTATTTTTTAATGGGAAATTTTTATAAAGCACTATCTTTTAGTAGTAATTAGTCATCTATAGATACCATTTGCTATATTACGGATTATAGATACCTTTTCTGTGGTTATAAGATATATTTGATGTATTTAAGCTATTGTATTCACGAATACAGTGGCAAAAAAAAGGCGTGAATCAAGGAAGTCCAGCTAATCAGTTGTTTTATTCAAGTGTATTCGACTGTATTCATGGAGTGAAACGTAGGATTACAGCTGGATAGATTATTGTATTCGACTATATTCACGGCGTGAAATAGGGGATTACACCGTTTTTTAAAACGGAAAGTGAATCAATTAACATAATAGACTCCTAATATAACTCAATAAACTCAATTATAACACATAAATTTTGTATTTTCAGTTATAAAAAAGATTCTCAACCGAAAAATATACCAAAAACGTAGCAATCTTCAGAGAAATTATATAATACATCTGAATACATAAATTATATTAACTAAAAAAAATATATGAATACATTCATGGCATATAGCGAGACAATGAATACAATGAAATACATAGAATACAATGGGATACATTGAAATACAATGAAAAAAAACAGTGAATACAATGAAATACAACGAAAAACATTGAATTACAATGAAAAAAAAGACAATGAATACAATGAAATACATGAAAATACATTGAAATATATTAACAGAAAATCAAGTTGCTCAGCCCCAAAGTCTGTCGTCTTTGTTCAAGAATAAATCCTAATTTCAATGCATAGCGTTAGAGCTTTGTGCTCGGAATTTTAGTGGTAGAATAAGACATACGACTAATTGATCATGGTGTCAACGACCATTCAGGGCAGGCCTATTTGCTCTAATGTGGACAGCGGTGGTTGGGTAACTTCTACTAATTCAGCTTTCCATTACTTTCCTCTTGAAATGGATTTTTTCTCTTTTGATTTCTTATTTCCGCTTTGACGTAGGCGGCCAGAATTGACATTAAGTTGATGAAGAATCAAGTTTAACCCCTAATTGTAAGTAGATTTTTAATGTCAGACATCAAACATTCCGTGATGCACAAAAAAAAAAAAAGAATCTTCCTCTTTAAGCACTGTTACAATGGAGAGAAAATCGCAAGCGAACTAAATAGAGAAGAGGAAGAGAATCTGAAATTTTTAATGGGACGGCGAAGAGAATGAGATGTATCAAAATAGAGAGAGAAAGAAAATATTGTAACTGATTAGCGTATTTAGTGGCTTAGGGCTAGGAGGTAACTAAAAATTAAATATTTTGCTATAAAACTTAAAAGGTATCTATAGAATATAATTTTTTTAAATGATATTTATTTAAAATAAATAAGGTGTTAACTTTTGGTACAAGAGGTAAAAATTCCTTTTTTAATTTCTCCCCAAATTTAGCTCATTGGGCTGACTGTCAGAACTAAATTGTCCCTCAAGAAAGATTATTTGTGCAAATTGGCCCATAAATTTTTTAATTTTCACTTGAAGAAAATTTTTGGAATTTTTCGAAAATTTGAAAAACTCCAAAAAGCTGTTTTTCAAAATTTTCACTCAAATCACTCACAAAAATTCAAAAGTAACCCAAAATTTTATTCATGTCTGAACACAACTTTAATTTTCAAATACCATTTTCACTTGAAAAAAAAATTAACTGAATTTTACAATTCTTATGTCCAAACGCCAACATAGCAATTTCTATTCTATAACTCTCAAACTTATTTGATGAGGAATCCATTCCTGAAAAAGGACCACTTTACAAACACCTAGTGGTGTACCTCTTCTTAGAAATCCATGCAAGAGCTGAGTAGCCTGCTAGGTAACTACCGTCCCCAGGGACGAAGCTACTTTGATTGAAGGGTGGTCAACTGACCACCCTTCGCCGAAAAATTATACTACATATAAGATAAAATATTATTTGTTATTGATTAAAAATAGATTTTGAACACCTTTGTATAGCCCATCGGCAAAGCGTGTTCAAAATTTGAACACCCTTATTGAATTTCCGTGCTTCGCTACTGACCGTCCCAGTCTTTGAGCACTTGTATTATTTTTCATCTGAAAGCTCTAATTCTTCATTCTTCAAATAGGATGATGCCCAAACTTAATTAATGACCAATGGCTATTCAAGTGGAGATCGATGTTGTAGATTCTCAGTCTAGTGTTTTACTATATTTTTCTTATTCATGCTATACATTTTGTGTCAAGGAGAGGGCCTTGAAGTAACGGTAAAGTTATCTCCGTGTTATCCATAGGTCACACATTCAAGTCATGAAAGCAACCACTAATACTTATATTAAGGTAGGTTGTTTATATCACGTCCTTTGGAGTACGCTCATACTCCGAATCCTACTTAAATACAAGATACTTTGTGCACCGGTATGCTATACATTTTGTGTTATTCCTAGCTTCATATTGAAGAGTGCCATATATGTCAACCACGTAGTACAAAACCATGGAAAAGATTTTCAGCATTTTGAAGGGTGACATGCATACATGTCATCCACGTAAATACAAAACCAAGACAACCATGAAAATTGGTGTGGTTAATAAGCATGCCGTTCAATGTTGGCAACCTACTTTGCGACGATAGCTATGATCCAACAAAATAAGGGTACTTGACCTTTCTTTAGAATTCAAAGATTGTCCTTGATGATAAAACTTAGAAAATTCAAGTAGTTGTGACTTTTTTATGAAAAGAAAAAGAAATTTTCTGTACTCGGTGTATAGCGCCAAAATGAATTACTAATACATAAAATGTATCATTTTCAACCAAAAAAAAAGTATTTGTTGCTTAACCATAATTATTTAAACCTTTTCAGCACATGATATTAGCTCATAAAACAAAAATCTTCTAATGTATGAGCCACATTTTCCTCTAAGATGCATGTTTTAGTTCTAATATATTTTGTAATTATCTCCTTTTTTATTTTTTCTCTAAAGTTAATTAGGTGCATGCTTTGGACAAGGTAAGACCACTTGTTAGTTTTAACTCGTTTTATAGCCCGTTTGGCCAAGCTGCAAAAATCAGCTTATTTTGAGAAGTGTTTTTTTCTCAAAAATACTTTTCTCAAAAGTGCTTTAGGTGAGAAGCAGTTTGTGTTTGACTAATTAATTTGAAAAGGACTTCTGAGCAGCAATTAGTGTTTGACCAAGCTTTAAAAATCTGTTTCTAAGTGTATTTTTCTCAAAAGTGCTTTTGGAGAGAAGCTACTTTTTTCTGCTTCTCCAAAACTGTTTCTGCTTCTCCTCAAAATCACTTTTTTTTTTTCCAAAAGTTTGGCCAAATACCTAAATTTTAGGGGGAAAAAAGACACTTTTGATAAAAAAAGATGCTTTTGTCTTAAAAAAAGCTTAGCCAAACACTCTATAATTTGTAATTAGTGATCTGCCTAAGAATTAATTAGGTGCATAAGTGCATGCATTGGACGAAGGTAAGACTTTCCCCTTTCTATTTCTAGAAAAGCCAACTTGTAACTCCTCCCCCACTCCCCCTTTTTTATTTTATTTTTATATTGTAGTTCATTCCTTTTAAATTACTATTATTAGAGGTCTTGGTTGAGTAGAATTGATCAGCTGGACCAAAAGCATAGGCATATCTAGAGGT